ATTTATATATTTGTTTTGTTTACTCTCACGACTAAAATTAAACCAGAATTTAATACTTAAAAGCACATAGTTTTGTTTTTCCATTAATTACAATCGGTGAAGGTTTAGTAAAATAAATACAATTTTTTCCAGAAATGTCTTCCGAAGTTGGGCAGAGTGAAGGTGGTTCTGAAGAAGTCTTGCAGCCAAGTGAAGTGCTGCCTGAAGCCAGTGGTTCACAAACTACTGTACCTTCCATTACTGTAACAGAAGCTTCTGAGGATGACACTGGAGATGCAGGGGAGGAAATGCCTCCCCCAGAGATAAGTGGTATAGTCCCCATCTTCTTAAAATGTTTTTATTTGTTCTTCTTTCGAGGTAGAGTCCCTAACTTTAAATTGCTTTCAAATACTCACTTCTGTCTTAGTTCACGGATGTTCGGAATTGAAATAGTAAAGTGGATGTTGGTAATTTACTTACAAAATAGTGTGCTCGTGCTCTCACTCTCACTGTCACTCTTTCTCTCTCTCTCTCACTTACTCACTCTCTCACTCACTCTCTCTTTTTCTTTTTGTGTTTATGCGTGTGTGTGTGTGCGCGCGTGCACATCCACGTCCAATCATTTCCATCAATTTCCATTTTTCTGGACAAAACGGTACGCACACTAGTTTTTAGGGACACTGGAGATGAAAATAATCTTAGAAAAGTCATCAGATCACATATTTTGTTTTTATTTTGGGAGAAAGTGGCACTCTGAAATTCTGTCATGGGGCTGTGTGGTGGTCTAACACCACCTAGATCACAAGGCCTGCACTCTGAAGTTTTTCAAAGCCAATATGGGGGCTAGAGAAGGCTGAATTGTTCTATTTGAGGCAGTTGTGTATGATAAGTAGCACGAGTAGCTTTCGAATTGTTATATAGATGTGGTCTGTTGTTGATGATGGTGAGAATCGTAGTGAATAGGGGCTGTGTTTCCAGGTGAGGTAATTATGATAAGAAGTGTAAAGTGTAAGTTGCTAATTTCAGTGTTTACTTCCAGCTTTGTGAAGTTCATTGGCTTACGTGGGAAATTGACAAGAATTTATTGTTCTATTGTGATAATGGACTCAATCATCCTTCCTTTAAACATACACAACTCTCTTGTGGAGATATGCCTTCTTTGTTGCTTAATTGTCTCCTGACTACTTGAATCTCTCAATCACTTCCTACATGCATTCCTCAATAAAGGAATGTGTTTAGAAAAAGAGTATCTGCTTGTTGCTTTTGAATACAAGTAAATTCCAATTTGCAAATTAAAATATCATAGTTAACTAAGTCAAAAGCTTTCAAAAGGCCTGTATATACGGTATCAACTTGATCGCCTGCTTCCAGGTTTTCAAGGATAACATGTTGGAAAGTTAAGAAGTTTGTGGTTGTTAATTTTTTATTTCTAAAATAGTGTTGCTTGTCAATCATGACATAATTTATTTGCAAAGTAAGTTTTTGTGTTATATGTTCAAAAGTTTTTGAATTGATACTAGTTTAGAAGTAGGTTGATTATATCTCACATCAGATCAATTACACAGTGTTGCAAAATGAAATTTTTTTTGGAAGCGCATTCTGTTTTGATTTGTGATTTTAATCTATTTTCGCATAAATATGAAAACAGATTTTGTCTAGCACGTAAGGATTTTGAGATATTCATTTGACAGTTTCACTGAACATATTATATCATTTATTGTGAAGTTTAGGCAATTAACCACAGGAAAGTAACACAAAACAAAATGCAATTGATTCGGTAAATAGGTTAATTTGTCAATATATAATACTAATCAAAGTCAAACACACATTTCAATACTCAATTTTGTTAATTTTTGCTGTGGAAGTATGATCTTCATTATTGTCCAATATGTTCCAATTCCACATTATTGCTAGTCTCTGAAGAGGGATGGACCGCTATCATAACAACATTCCACCTACCCTGATAACGCCTTTCTATGTTCTTCACTAAAATCTGCCAAGTTGTTTGGAAAAAGTCAATATTGCTGTGAAGAAAATGCAACTTGACACTCATTGCAACCAAACTTTTTCATAGTCGGCAATCCACAGTATTCTTGAAATTTGGGTCTTTCATTTTTCTCAAAAATTCATTTATTACATTCTTTAATCCTGAGCAAGTGAGTTTCTCCTCACAAGTCATAATATTTTCGAAGCCTGAATCAGTCATTAGATTCCTAATATGGGGAAACACAAGATTCCTTCTTTTAGTTTAGTGTCCGACAGAAAGGAAAATTTGTTAATGATATACTTAAAACAGTCTTCATCTTAATGAAATGATTAATGATTCTAAGTGCAATATGTAGAGGAGAGAGAATAATCTTATCCCGCCTTACCAAACTTGCTCTTATTACATTCCTGTCGCCTGGATCCATTGTTGTTCTGGCCAGCCAGTTCTTTGTCACTCAGTGTAGATGGCGCAGGGAAATTTTGTGAAGCCAGACTGTTGTCCAAAAAGCAGCTCTTTAACTTTTAGAACACTGCATACAACCCATTTGTGCTCTGAATCATTTATTGCCGTTAAAACCATTGCAAGGGTTTCATAGCTTTTCTTCAAGAGATGCAAATATGCTATGTGCATATTACCAATAGATATGGTATTATACCACATCTATTGGAATTGTGTAAAACAGCCTTCTGATCGCTTTTGGTTGCATCAAGAAATAACCTCTATTCGTTTTTTTTGTATGCAACTCCATATTTTGATGTTTTGCAGTAAACAAGAAGGCCATCTTTGGTAAAATATTTCCGAAACTCTTCTTCCCTTGTTCGATACCATGAGAATGATGTACCAGGAGCTAGCATTCTTTTCTCCTTCAAATGTGAACCCAAAATTTGTGATAATTCCTTTAAGAGACCCAGATCTCTTATTAAGTCATTTTGTTCACCTTAGGTAAACAACAGAGAGTTTAGTTCATCTGTGGGGTACGTCATTTCATCAGACTTTGGAATATGATGATGATGATGATGATGATGATGATGATGATGATGATGATGATGATGACGACTAAAGAATTACAGGTGACTTAGGTTCAGGCCTAATGCCTGATTTTAAGTTTGGGTAAACAATGCTTTGAATTCTTTCCTTGTTATGCCCCTAAACCTTCACCATACAAAAATAGCAGTCATCTGTGTGATTTGTTTGCTCTTACCACACCATTGGAATTCCAAAAGATAGATGTTTGCTTCCCCTGGAACCACTTTTTTCTTAAAAATTAGCACATGTATGACACACCATGAGGAAAAAATATTTCGTGTTGGTCTCCTAACTTAACACTAAATAAGCTAGGTAAGCCCTTTTTATGAATGAGGTTATGCTGTGTTTTCAAAGTCAATCATCTACAAATGTAATAAAACCTTTTAAGATCATTTACACACATTTGTCTTGATGAGCTAGCCATTTTGACTTGCTAAATAACTTAGTTGCACTTACTTCACTTACTAAATAACTTAAGCACACTTATGAAAGAGATCAAATGGCTATATCTAAACAAAGACATTGATCAATGTTGAACTTCTCCCAAGTAAGTTTTTGATTGCACCATATTGTACATCAACTGCTGTTACTTTTACTAAATTTTTTAAAAGGTAAATCTGAGGGTCTTACAGCATATCTGATTCTGTATTCGCAAACAGGCTTAAGAAATCATTTGAAAACACCCACTTTCATACAAAGCCCCAAAATGATGTTACTCTGTGTTATAGTTATGAAACTTCTTTTCCAAAAATTTGGAAATAAATCCTCCTGCAAAGATTTTGAATATAGAAAATGTAACATAGGTGTTACATTAGTAAAACATTTTTACAGAAAAATTGCAAAGACTTCATCTGGACCAGGATTATTATCAATTTTTAGCTTTTTAATCTCAATAAAGACTTGTGTATAAAGACTTGAAGTATTTTGAGTAATTTGTTCATTCCCTGTATTCAACAACAAAAAACTAAAACAATTGTTGTTTCTGGTATTTACATCATCGCTGCGATTCACAATTTCATTACCACTATCAGCACTTCCTTTATCCACAAACATTAATGATGGAAGTCCATTTATTTTCTCATTGAGTCTGCATATTCCCAAAAAGATTTGCCATCATGTTTAATGAAAGAGTTCATTTTTCTAATATAATTTAAATAATCTGTTTTGCAAGCCTTTTACATTTCCTTCGCAAATTTGAGAGAATTCAGTGTTACTTGTCAGTGAAAGATACCTTAAATTTTGCATGAGCATTCGACTTCTTATTCAGAAGTTTTATCACTTTCTTAAATACCACATAGAATATGAAGAATTTACACAAGAAATCTTCCTTTTCATTTCCTCTTCTCTTCCTCCAGGAATGTAATGTATTCTGTGTGTTGTAATATAGTTATTAATCTTGTATTAAATGTTTGTATAACTTTTATGCTTGCAAACTCATTTTTCCTTCATTTTTGCATCACATAAATTTTGCATAATAAAATCATTTAGTCATTGCCAACATTGTGATATCATTCTTCAGCAAGTCAACAGCTGATAGGATCAGGAGATGATATCAATTTTAACCTTGTATTTGAAATTGTGGTTATGCAATTGCGAAGAATGTATGTATGTAAGTAATAAAGATTGTAATGGGTACAAAGAATGTACCCATTACATTCTTTTTACAGAGGGCTATGGAAATGGGGAGAACCCGGAAAAAACAGCTCAAAGAAGAGAATTCCTAACATTCTATAACCCTAAGCAGGTTAAACCTGCAGCCATGAAAGGGTAAAAAAATGTGCAAGTTAAATTTATAAACATGATTAGCATTAATTAATGCATTATTTAATTTCTCACATATTTTCAACCCTTTTGGATTTTCCTTCTTAAGAAGTTAAGTGGCTGTATACATCTCATCTCATTAATTTTATTTTCATTTCTTAACCTTTATTACTTGATAATTTTTTGTTTCTCTGGATGTGTGGATCTCTCCTTATGCTTAATGGTTGCATTTTTGATCATGTTGCAGAATATGATGAAAGCACAGAACAACGCGATACGTCAACTGAACAGGAACAGGAAGAGAATCTGGAATTAGCTGATGAGGGTGGGGATGGTAAGTCTTCATAACATCACACTGTGCACTTCAGCAGGCATGTGGCAATTGAGTGAATTCACCTTCTCCAGTAATCTATCATTTTTGGTTGGATGCTCCGAATGTATGTTGTGCCTTTCATAGCTACTGACCTTTAATGTACTTATTTTAATATCTCTGTTGTAAGAGATGAGAGAATCAAGTGGTGGTTGCTTCTTTGTAACACCATTTGCCTAATAAAACATTCAAAGAATGTAGTTGTTCTCTGTCTCCTGTTACCTCATAATTTTTTTTAAAATTTTTGTGCAAAATAAGAATTTGAAGGATTTCTTGGTTTTCACATTGTAGAAAGTCACTGAAGTAGAAAAACCATGACAAATTACAAATTGCAATGTTTATTATATTTGTACATGTTAATGCTACATTTAAAATATGCAGTTCCTGAATATTCCCACACTAATATCACATGTCTTATTTGTAAAAACTTCAAGATGACTGTGGGCAAAAAATGAATGAAAGAAAGAAAGAAAGGAATGTGTAGCTGCCAAAATTCAAAAAAAAAAATGTTTGATATGTAATTTATATTGCATTGTATCATTCCCATTTCTTCTGTGAAAGTAATGTTTTTAGGTTTGTGTATTGCCAAGGAAAAGTTTTTCTGGCCTTGCAAACTATTTTCACTTATTGTGCATTCAGCAGACATATGTACTTGCGATAGTTGGTGTAATTTCGGATATTGCATTGAAAGGTTCCTTGAAAAGTGTCATTTCTTCATTTTTCATGCAACTAGTGCACAAGCCCTTCCTTTGTCTTACATGTGTGTTTCTGAAAAAACTTTCATTTTTAGTTGAGATGTGCACATTTCTTTGTTTCTTTATTCGTGAGTATTAAATAGTCCTGATCTTTGTTTTAATTAATTTTTAGGTTGTTTACTTTCTTTTTATTTTGTTTAATTTACTTGGAGTTGTATTTTTTATTTCATGGGTTTAACGAGAGTCTGCAAATCCTAGTCTTTCACGCCTGTGAATGCATTATTTGTACAATAGTTTCCAGTGTTCTTTTTTAGGAGTTATTTTGTAAAAATCTTAATTACTCTTTAGAAAGACAATCAAAAGAAAGCTTATAATCTACTTGCTCACAAACAGATATTTTAACAGAAAAAACCTTTTCAAAACGCAAAATTTGTGTATTTTATTGATATGTCAGGATTTGTAAAATAAAAAGCTTCTTGTTTTTAGCTGTATTGATTTGTTACTTGCCCGTTTCAAGAATCGTGTGGAAGTAGTTTCATGAACACGTATTCATAAGAATGTCCATTCCAGTGTCAGTATCAGTGAATTATATTTGCAGCAGATCTGCTATATTTTTACTGTTCTTTAGAGATATTCATTATATATTTAGGGGAAAAAGTTCCTCTTGCTTTGGAGTAATGATATATTTTCTGATTCAGAATTCTGATTCAGAATATTCAGAATTGGTCAAGTCATTGCTGCTTAATTTATATAAAATTTATTCTGAAAAGACATTCATGTCAGACTAACCAATTTATTGTTCTGCGTATGTCACTCTTGTATTTGTGATTAAAGATGATGGTAAAATTTTGGTAATTTTAAATATTAGAATTTTCTGTGGATGATGGCAGATAATCAAAATTGAATTTAGCTGGAGAACACATGCAGGTCTTCTGTTTCATTAGTGGTTATTTAAGAATTACTTTTGAATCGATTCATTACTAATTAATTTTAAGTTCATGTGTAATGATGTGTATTGCTTTATATATGCAAGAGGATTTAAATTTGTACCCCAGTGTACAGCTGCTTTTATTATTTTCTATTATATTTGCTCAAGAATGGTTTATGGAGATATGATTTTTAAAATGTTATCGCAATGAAAATTAAGTGCAATCCTTTTGTCAATTTGAAGTAGTAATTAATTTAAAGATAGTTGTTGTTAACATTTTCATTAATGTAAATTTTTCTTCAAGAAATTATAATTTTTGTAGACTCATAAATGCTTTGTAATTCTAAATCCTCACTTAAAAATGTTTCAAATTTTTATAGAAGATAAAATTTATGGAAGATATTTTCACAGAACTGGCAGCTGTGCAAATTTACTGACTCGTGGACAATACAGTTAATTTTCACTTATAAAAATTACCCTATTTACCCAAATATAAGTCGGCTTTTCTTTCTCTCTTTTTCTTTTTCTTTTTCTTCTTCTTCTTCTTCTTCTTCTTCTTCTTCAATTTTCCAAAGACCTCATTCCAAAAATGTGGGGTAGTCTTATATTCGCAGATTAAGCTTAGCCAGTTTAGACTTATGTTTTTATATTGCTTTTCCTTGTTACGAAACTTGATAATTTTGACGTAACAATAAGCTGCGATGTTAAAAGTATCACGTGTATCTATAATACATTATTACTTAATTACTATAAAAACAGTAACATCATTTTCTCGTAACCACTGCGAATATGCCGAATGATTCAGATAAATGTTTTTGAATGGGTTGGTTAAGAGAGAATCTCAAACAAACGGCATTGCATTAAGTGAAATGTGACATGAGAAGGAACATTGTAGAGATTTGGTTGCTCAGGGAGGACAAACCTACGTATTGCAAGAGATGGAAATGAAAAAAATTCATGCCGATAGATGTATGGTTTCCACATCCAAACCCAGAAAAGGTGATAAAAGCATTTTAGCAAAAGCTTCCCAAATTTGAAACTATCTCCCATTGTTTCAGCAAAACAGATGTACAGTATGAGTTTGCAGTTCACAACATTATCACACAAAAAAATTAAACCATGAAAATTTTAAGTTCACACTGTTAAAAGAATGTGAAAGAAATGCTAATGAATCAGAGGTCACAAACAATTGGGAAAGGAAGAAAATCTGGTAACAGAAGGGTTCTTAGATAGTGTCTAATGAAAGACGAATGCGAATCTCAATTACAGAACTTTACAGGGAGTAAAAATTTAGAGGGCGGCGTGATAAAACCAAAAAGAAAGAAGCATGATTATGTGAAAATGAAGAAGGTAGTGAAAACATTATAATTTATAATTACTATTATAAATAAATTATGGGGATTTTAGAAAAATGTGGAGAAAATAGTGATAGCTCAGTTGTAAATTTTATCACTATCTTCAAGACAATTTTTCTAGTTGACTAGAAAATTAAAAATTTTATTTTAACTACAAATTAGTTAAACGTTCTAAAAACTCTCAGGGGAACTGTACAAAAGTAGGGGTTTGTTTTATGTACAGAGTCGACTTACATTCAAGTAAATCGGTAAATATGGGTTACAAATTGGGAAAGGATGTTATATTTAAAAAGAGAATGGGGTACTTCTAGAATCAACTAACTATTCAAGCAAGTATAGAAACAATTTTGAGGAAAAATTAGTTCATTTTGAATTGACTCTCCAGTCTACTTTATTCAAATTGCAAATTGTAATTGCTTTTATTTTTTACTGGGACATTAGCCTCTTCAATGAAAGGTGATAAGAAGAATACTTTGGAAGCTATGGACTAGTGAATGGAGTTGGGGAATTTGGAAGAATGAGTTATGTTTATTGAGATTATTTGAAGAGTGAAATACTTGAAAAATATGTACTTGATGTCGATGACAATCTTAATTCAGTATCAGTATCAGTGTTTAGAATATGCAAATGTGTTACGTTGTGAATGAAAATGCAGCTACGTCAATGTAGACCATAAATTTTAGCAGTCATGTAAATATTAAATTAAAGTAATTAACAGTTCAAATTGTTTTAAGTTTGTTTAATCAGCCTCAATTTGGAATTGAACCCAATTCTGTGATTTTCTGAAAGTTTCTTTTACAATTATGCTGCAGAGATGGAAAAAGCTCTGAACAGTTGCGAAGACTTCTGCATTGCTTATTTTGCTTAATTTGATGCTTGTGACCATCCTGTCACCTTGTTGGAATTGCAAAATTGGAAATATATTCTAATGGCATAGGGATGTAGCAACCCCATTGCCCTGCGCTGTTACCGAAGGGAGGGGATTGCAGCAGTCGGCCTAGTTTCTCCTACCTACAAGGTAGCTGTTGACCGCTGTCCTCACCTTTTGAAATATCCTTCTTTCGGTGCCCATTATGTCTTCCCTACTATCGGGTCCAACAGGTGGATCTAGAAACACTGAGACCGATCCTTAGAATTTCCTCTTCATTCCCGTCTCTTCAGGGGAGGTGAAACCAATCTGTCTTTGGGAAAAAACTAAATAAATTCTGCAAGTTTGGAGGTAGCCCCTCTACTGAACTCAACCTGCGCAGCGCCAACAAGGCCGGGGGAGGTTTTCTGCTACTGACAAACCTCAAGGAAAGAAGCCAGATCAATTTGATTACAACCAGAGCGAACACAAAAGTTTAAAGCACGTGGATGTACTAAATGTTGTAACATGGAATGTTTGCGACATACAAAATAAAGAAATAGAACTATTAAAGATATTAGAAGAAAGAAAAATCACATTCCTGTAATAACAGAAACAAAATAAGAAAACAGGGAACAAGAGAGATTGATGACTGGGCGAATATCTAGAGTGGAGTGGTACAGCACAAAAGAGCAAAAACTGGCATAGCTATGTGTGTAGATAAGAAATGGAAGAAGTACACTTACATCAATGAGAGAATACTAAGAGTAGTTTTTAAAATGAGGAAAGGTAATCTTACCGTTACAGGAGTGTATGCCCCCAAGGAAGGTAAGAAAGAAGAAACCATAAAATTTTATGACAAGCTCGGATGTAAAACAAATGCAACCCAAATAACTTTCTCATTGAAGCTGGAGATGTAAATGCAAGAGAGGGAAGCTTGCCTGTTCCCAATATTATAGGACTGTACAGAGAACAAGTAATGAATGAAAATGGAAAAGAACTTAGATAATTTGTAACGTACAATGAACTAAGAATCACCAATACATTTTTTAGAAAAAATAACATCCATGAATATTCTTAGTGTCCAGGGACAACACTTGGTAATATATTCTGTAATAGTTAATAAAAAGTGAAGTTCAGACATAAAGGATATCCATGTGTTAAGAGGATATGACATCTATCCAGATCACTATCTAGTAGAAACAAAAATAAATATAAGAGCAAGGGGGAATAAACAAACTGCCTCAAAAATAAACCAAAAGATGTAGAGTATAAAGCGTATCTGCTAGAAGACATTAATATAACAGTTATATCAGAGACGGTCGAATCACTTCTCTAGCAACACTGCCACATCAGACCTGAAGAATGGAGAAACCTTATGGAATCAATAAGAAGAGCAGCATATGAGGCATTACGCACCCGAAAAATGAGGCAAAAAAGGAAAAATGAATTTTTGGAAAGTATGGAATGATAGAACAGGAAAAAAGGTAGCATACCTAAATTATCTACAAAACGGAAATGAGCATACTAAACAGATATACCACCAAAAAAGGATTAAAGCTAAAGCATGAGTGAGACAAGCCCATCAAGAATCTTGGGATAGATATGTGAATATGTTTGAACATGATGTATTAGGAAGACAAAGTGTTTAAATCAATGAATTTAGAAGAAACAGATATGGAAAAATTGAATATAATTTTCGGTAAAGAGTGGTTGGACTACTTTATAAAATTATGGAGTGGGAAAGAAGAAATTTGTAAGGTGGATGAAGAAAAAGGAATAAAAAGAAATGTAGTTAGATATGAAAGAGCTTGTCAGAGCATTACAATCCTCCAAAATAGAAAAGTCTGTGGTCTGTGGTGGTGGTGGTGGTAATGATGATTGAAATACGTTCTCAAAAGTAAATTTCTTACTGTGATGTGACCTTGTTATGTCAAATGTTGCATATTGAAGTTCAAGAGACTAGATTTACCTCTTATCTGTAAAACAGAAATTTTATAGTTTACCAAACTAAATGAATCTATTCTTTTAATTGTATTTTATTTTGGATTAACATTTTTTAATGTGAGAACACTATTTTCAAATAATATTTTTCTTGTTTTACTTTTCTGAAAGTGAAAATCAATTTCATTGATTTTTATTTTATTTTAATTCTTTATTCCAATCAGCTTTGTACAAATAAGTAACAATTCATATATTACATTATAAAGCTATAACTAAATTTACAATAATACTTATTGAGTAAAAAATGATCGATGCATATAATTAAAATATAGATCATGAAATTAAATCTCTCTCTCTATCTCTCTTTCTTTCTTTCTTTCTCTCTCTCTCTCTCTCTCTCTCTCTCTTCCTTTCTTTCTCTCTCTCTCTTTCTTTCTATTTTGACTTTGTTAGAGTATTGTGATTTCATTTGTTTATTACTAAAGTATCATGGTTCTCAGAATAAAAAGGCTGTCCATGAACAGTGATGCGACAAACCCAGCTGAAGAGCTAATTCAAGGTTAACACAGTGCCTTTCATGAAATGCTCATAGTTTTTTCCATCAATTTTTGCATATTGGAAAAGCCACTAGACAGTTTGAACATGAGTGATAATGTAATGAGCTTCCAGAAATGAAGTTGATTCGAAAGAGGATTAATTCTTCTGTTGGAAATTGCATTCTATTTAAGAAACAATGGGCAAAATAACTTTGAAAATCCTTACTTTATTTGCTTCATGGTTCATGAAAATTAACTGTCATTGCAGGAATGGAAAGTGAGGATAAATTAGTTTCGGTATATAAGGAAGCTAATATTTTGTGGAGGTAAACACTACAAAGTAATATTCATCAGTAGTCAGTAATCCATTTGCTTATGTTATCTAATTGTTTCAAACAAGTAAGCTTGTTTTCACCTGTACATTCATTTGAGTTTTGCTTCGACAAGAATACAAACTGAAGTAACATACATGGAATGTTTCTAATAATATCATCAGTGGTGATCAAAATAATTGTACCTATCGGTTCATAGACAACTTCCCATGGTCCTTGACAGTTGGATTTTTTGTCTCTTGTAATTCAACCTTAATCTTTAGTTCATGCCTCTGCAATTGCCTTAATAAATTATTTATATTTTGTTTGGTTCTTTTTCCTCTCATTCTCTTGATTCAGTGGATCTTTTTAAAGTTTGTTTATATCTGATTCTCTCCCTGCTTGCTTCACTAAAATTACTTTTTGTGATGCAGCATTAAATTATGTTTTGGTATTTATTCATTATGGAAAGTAAACGAAAAGTGTATAAATGAATTTACATTTCAAAATTTAGTTTCATTTATATTTGAAATAAACTAGTTTATATCTGGTTTATATGCTAAGAACAATATTACTTGTTCTTTCTGGCATTAAAATTGTAATATAATATTTGTATGTCATTGAAACTATTTTTGGAGTCTGCTATCTAGCATCTTGCGTTGTTTATATAATTTCAGTCTCTTCCCTAGAAGTAAATGAAATTGGGCAAAAATATTAAATATGGTCTTAAAGTTAACTATATTATTATAAATTTATACAGGTGTCCCACCTACTATGGGCCATCCCTATAACTTCTTAATATATACGATATTCAAGTGCAGTTTTTGCTCAATAACACGGAATCATGAGGCAAGTAATATGCTGTAGAGATATTGTTTGAAATATTTTTAGTTTTAGAGAAATTTAATCATCTTTGATTTTTTTAATGCTACTATTAATTTTTCTCATCAGCAATGAATAGATCATAAAAGAGGAATACAGTGATGTAAATTATGTTGTTAGTATTTTTATAGTAATTTGAATACAAAATTAAATATCTGACCTGTGATTTTAAATTAATCATACAATATTTCTTGTAGCAGTTCTTGCAACTGTTACGTTCAGACCTTTGCCGAGATTGTTTAATTTAAAATCGTGTGTTAGAAAGTCTAATTTTATACTCAAATTACTATGAAAATGCTAATATAATACATGAAGAGAAAATATATAGTGCCATTAAAAAAAATCGAAGATGATTAAATATCTCATAAACTAAAAACCTTATGAACATAGCAGTACAGTCAATTTTTTTTGCCCATGATTCCCCCGTTTTTAAGCAAAAACTGCGCTTCAATATCATGGGCAGTTATGGGAGTGGCTCATAGATGCTATTGCGGAATATTAAAAATTCACGTAAATATTGAATGCTGCTGCTGCTGCTTCAGTTTTAGTTATCAGGATTGTGATAGGTAAAGCATTGGACCATATTACTTTATTTGCCATTTTTATTCCTTTAATTCTTAATATGACAATAAGATTCTTTAATTTTACCCATTTTCTTGCGAAAGATTTTTATTACTGTAACAATATGTACTCTTAATTTACTCTTCAAATTTGGGGGCAAATTTATTTTTTATTTAGAAAAGGTTGTGCATAGTGTTGTTGTCCTGTGAATTGAATAATCTCCTGCATCTCTTGGTATTTGACAATAAACAGATGCTGGGCATCAGAAGGGGAGATGCAGAATATAAGAACTATGCTGTGTATATAGGTGTGAGCTCGGAGGGGGAGAAATCTCAGCCTTTGGAGGATGTTGAAGAGGGTCGGGAAGCTGAGGCTACAGAGGCGGGAGAAGCACAGGATTCTCCACGGCGTGTCACACGCGCAGCCAATATTGCTCGGCGATCAGCCCGGGCCCCTTACCGAAACCAGCGGGGGCGTGGCAGTATGCGTCCTACTCCCATTGTTTGGAATGAGCCAGGCTCCAGCATGGGGTCTCAGCTTCCTAGAGGTGAGTGCCTTGACTTGAAGATGCAAAATATTAAAGGACTTTTTGGGTAGATCATTAAGGCATATCATCAGTTAGAAAATTCGTGATTCTGAAATTGTAATAAAAAAGATCAATTAAAATTAAAATCTATCTGCATATGTGTCTAAATTCTCATTTTAGTATTCAGTGTTACAGAAGGCATTGGAGTAAGAAATGAAAACTACCTCTTACTTGTGGAGAAAAGTTTTTTAAATTTTATTATAAAATATTATTTTTGGTGCCTAATAAAGTGTATTTGATATATTTAGTATAAAATTACAAAAAAAAATGCATTTAATTGTTTTGTAATATTCCAAGGTTAACGTTGCTAATGAGGACTATTAAACCTCCATACATTGTGATGTGCCTTTTAAAAGTTTTTAAACTTTTTTTGTCAGAAAGAAATCATTAAATTTTATGCTCTAAGTATTCTTTAGATTCATGATTTTTCCTATGAATCTTTTTAATTTTTTTAAATTTATTTATTTTAAGGCGTAATGTTACCACTTTCATTCATTTATATCAGGGTTTGCTCGTACTTTGAAAATGTCATATCTTTCAAAAATTTTAGATGTTTCAAAACAAATTCTAAAGCCAATATTTTTAAAAAGTCTAATGGAATCCACAATTAGTGATAATTACCACATAATGTGCATGGAATCATAATAGTGAATTTGCCCATGCCAGTTTTTCTATGTGAAAATGAATTTTAAATTCAGGGATAAGATTGCATCATGGAAGTGAAGGAGAGGGAGGAACTTTGCGAGATGTACAAATGGTCGAGTCAAATGGTGCCCAAAAGGAATAGCGGAAAGTTTTGACGTTGGGTTTCCATGTTTTCGGGATCGCTGAATACGAATATCCTAACGAAAGCAAAAGCTTCCTAATGAAATTCTTGTTCTTCAAAATAAAATGAAAAGCATGTATGATTTGTGAATCCCTTTTATGATGAGAAGTACAAACATAAAAAACAATATAGTCTAAAACTGATCAATTAAAAAGATGGTTAATTAATTCATGTAGTTAACATTTCAACAAACAAATCTAAAACAGTGTGGAATATAATTTACAAAGGGAAAAGAAACAGAAACATACACCTACTACAAGAAAGCATGTTTGTTGATAATCCTTCAGATATTTGTAGGGTCTTTAAGTACCACTTCTTAAATTCAAAACCGGACACTGTAACTAGTAATAATAATAATTATTATTAATTATCATTATCATTATAATCATCATCATCATCTCTTCAGGGATTAGGAGAGACTCCAATCCATCTTCAGCATGCTATCTTAATCTCGAACGACCGACATCCCTTTTATCATGAGGTCTATAGTGATACATGTGTTTTGGAATGCAACAACTACTCATTCTGTGTAGATGTTGGGATCATCGTGTCCTGTATTCTTGTACTTTATTTATTAATAGGAGCACTTTTATTTTTTCTCTAATTTCCATTCTTTATTTTGTCTAATATAATGTAGTCTTTGACTTGTCTGATGAACCATCATCTCCGACATCTAAATTCTGGTAAAATCTTTCTTTATACGTCACTTTCACATCTCATACCCTTAAAGAAGTATGGGCACAGCCATTGTTCCATCGTCTATATAAATATTAAATAATCTAGGTGATAGGCTACAACTTTGTCTAACACCTCCATGAGTTTTAAATTCCTCTGATAGTTTTCCATTTAAATCAAATACATTTATAGTTCTGTGGTATAAGAATTTGATTACTTGAGTTAAATATAGTGGAATGCCTCTTTTATTTAATATCTTCCATATCATATGCCAATGCCCCATATCAAAGGCTTTCTCATAATCTTTGAAAGCGATGTGAGTTTCATGATTAAATTCTATCCTGTTCTGTATAAGCCCATTAATGGATATAATATCGATACCTAATCTTCCTTGTCTAAATCTACATTGTTCTTCTAACAATATATTGCCTATAAGAGCTGTCAATTTGGTAATAATTTGAGTATATATCTTGTATGATGAATTTAGCGAGGCAGTTCCTCTATAATTCTCTGGTTTACTTCTATTCTCTTTTTTGAATAGTGATAATACCTTTGCTTTTCGCCATTCTTCTAGAATTGTACAAGTCACCAACAGGCATTCAATAAATTAAGAAATCTATTTTTTAATGAGGTATCGGCGTATCTAATTAATTCCAGAATAATCCCACCAAGGCCTGGTGCTTTTGGAATTTTTTAGCTTCTGTAGCAAATAAACCAATTCATTCATTTGCAATGGATCTACATGTATATTTCATAGTTACTGCTTTATGCCTCTTCCACATAATCATAAACTTTTATAATAATCCAACCACTCTTTCTCTTTGATTATGTTGAGCTCTGCAGAGTCCTTTATGTCACTTTTTATATGCCTCATTACTTCGTAAGCTAAGGTTTGTCGTCCATGCACATAGTTCTCAATATTACTAACAAATCGTTCCAAAGATTCTTGGTGGGCTTTTCTTATAAACACCTTGGCGTTGTTTCTTATTTGTTTATGTCCCTCTGGTTTCTTCTGTATTATTTGGTAACATTTTATTGTTAACATGTTTCTTATCATTAATGACTTGACAGCAATTTCAGGTGTCAAGTTTCAAGCCTTTTCGTCATTTATTTTTACATCTTTGTACCTAAGGCAGCATTAGCTGCTTTCTTTATTACACATTTTAACATTATCCATTTTTTATCTACATCTCATACAGTAAACCTTTATCTTCTGGAACTTCAAAATCTATTAACAAATGTTACCGATGTTAATCGACTGATAAATTCCTTCAAAAATAGTTGATCGTCGAGGAATGATGAAATATATTCAATAGTTTAAAAAAATGTTAGCCTGCTCTTCTAATATATTAGTCTATTTAATATATTCATCACTGTCTGTTTTCACTTTTCCAGAATCTCTAAAAATTAGTATTGCAAGACCACTTGCTAAGAATAATAGTACATAAGATGTTAGGAATTAAGCACATGCATGTTTTAATAAACATGTAATTTATCAAGAAAACTACAGTAAAACCCCTCTTTTACACTTTTCATGAGATCCTAGGGAAAACGGTGCTAGGGGAAATTTTTTTTCCTTCGAAACTTTGAGTACAGTATGTATTTAGATACATACAAACAATAAGGATTATATGTTTTAACATGCAGTATCAAATAATAATAATAATAATAATAATAATAATAATAATAATAATAATAATAATAATAATAATAATACAAGATAAAATAGAAATCGGCCAAAATTTCATTCTAGTTTACTATTGGTTGAGTGTGGGAATCGATTTCGAGGTATCGACAGTGTTTATGGCCCATGACCATTCATGTCCTTAGTTCGTCTATCAACTTGCTTCATCTTTCGATTCTCGATTTTTGAATTAACGTACTGTGATTGGTTTATTTCTTATGTCTTACCGAAGCATAAGAACAGAAGCTTGCAAGCTTTTAAGTTAACGTTTTACGTGTTATGCTTATGCGTACGCATTGCGAGTCCGCTTATGGACGTACTCCTAACTCTTATGTTAACGCCATTGTGCTTGCATTGCGAATGGGCCTTAACACTATCATATACGAAAGGGCATACAATCGCTCTTAGCGACGTGCGTTGTGCCCACAGCTGAAGCAAGATACGCAAGTTACAACGTAAGTCAAGTTTAAAGTGCATTTCCTAGCTTTCAACGCGCATCGAGCGTTGGCTACAACGCAAGTCGTCAAGAGCGTTCGTGTGTCATTTCGCGTAAGATAATGTTAACCTACCACGCTCCGTAAGTGACTCGTGTGCGCAGGCCCGCAAACGCATCTGACGTCCTCAGTGGCAGGTGACGCGCGTCAACTCAACGCTCGTGGGGCACAGACCTTATATTCTTCTACTAATGCATATTAGCCAGTTTTTGAATACCTCTGTTATGTTACGATACGAAAATGTGTATAGGTTTTGCTGCTAATTAATGACTTTCGCTATATTTTAAGTCTTCTAGTCTTTCTGTTACAACCATTGAAAGGGGGTGGGAAAGTGCAGCGGCAGTGCCCGTTTCGCGCAATGCGACATACTTTCCAGATGGTGCTGTGGCAAGCAGACTGTTGTAAATTGAAATTATTCCATCGTAAAGGCAAGATATTTATAACATTATAAATATACGGAAACTTATGGCACCGACAAGAAATGTTGTAATGCCTGGGAAAACTTGAATTGTGGGAACGTAAAAGCGAGGATTTACTGTATTTGAATTATTAATGTAAGATATGTAATAGAATTTAATTACTGTTATAACTTCCATTAAATGTTTATTTTAATCAGTTACATATATTTAACGCATTCGTCAAGTTTATCAATTTACGTTTAAAAGTTACGAAAGACGTTTAAAAGAATGGTGGTCATATTCGGTGACAGCCTCGATCTTTCGAAAATTGCAACAAAGAAAAACCTACAAAATTGATTATAGAGGTTTTTGGCTCAAACAAAGTCTGTTGTACAAAATTAGGTCTTTCAGAAAGGTCTTGTACATTTTTTGTAAAAGTTAATAGCTTTGAGTAATTTGCGGTGTTTTTTTTTTTTCCCTTCTAAAAACCCTCTTTTCTTTAATATTCTTCACATATGTTGTAAGGAACGGTAAAAAATATGGTGCTAATTCCATTGCTTTTTCCCCTCGAAAATTGCGAAATTACAAATTATAAAATTGGAAAAAAGTTTGTTGTAGAAAATTAGCTATTTAAATGATTAAATTATGCCCCAAGGCCATTTATTTTATATTTTGTTATTTTTTCCGTTGCCTAATACTACATCTGAAACACGAAGCTCTTAAGACTATTGTAGGACTGCATACACCCTGTGCGACCCTGGTGGCCGGAGTTGGTTAAATGATGTGAATTGTCTCAGTACTGCGGGGGCAAGGTCGGGTTTTTTAAAGCCTCGCTCCGGGATAGTTATTTGTCATAATTCTGTGTTGCTGAACCAACTATTGAAAATTGCAGAATCGTAATTGAAAATCATTTGAATCACTTCTCATAACAAATACAGTAATATATTATTACTAATATTATAATTAACATCAATAAATTTGAAGTGTGTATGTGATTTTCGAATTTTCTACAACTGAAACAGTTGTCTTGAGTAATATGAAAGTGCAAAGGTCTTGTCCTTTTGGATGGCCGAGGTTAAGTGGCATCGGGTTCATCACTTGAAACCAAGAGGTCGCCAGTTCGAGTCACACACGGGGATTTCATTTGATGAAAGTGTTGTAGGAAACTATTAGAGATTCGAGAAACTTTATTGAAATTCATTTGAATCATTTCTACCCACAAATGCAATCATTTACATAAACAAATAAGCCGGACGTTTCTGTACGTGCTTTTGCAATTTGTAACATTTAATCGTTTTTACAATTTTTTTTTGCAATTAGTAAAACGTATGTCACATGAAATCTATTGTTTAATTTCTGTATGAACCGGTTTAAGTAAACTACTGAATTTATCGACATTTAATTTAAATACATTATGAACACTAGCCATGTGACCAACTCAGATATCCCTAACGGTTCATAAATTATTCATACTTTCTCGCCTTACGAATTCTTCGTAAGAAGAAAAAGTTATGTAATCGTGCGCCGGGATAAACCTTAGAGCCGGGTTCTGGTAATGAAAAAGTGGATAAGTCCTGTTGTTAAATTTTAAAAAAATCTCTAACTCGTAAAGTAGCCAGAATCCATGTTTTGTTTGTTCCGAAAAATCGATTGACGATAGAATGTCAGTTTGCCTTTCCGTCTGTGGTGAACGCTAACTCCTAAAACGTTCAGCTGATTTTCTTCAAACTTGATATTCCCTGATTGATCTTAATGGACTGGAGGCTTTGGGAGTTTCTAACGGATATTCTGATTGTTGATTTTTTACATTAATCGGACATTTACCTTTTTGTACCTTTGTCAGAGTTCTGCCATGCAGCGCTTCTGTGGCGTAGTGGTATGAGTGCCGGCACGTTAACGCTGAAGATCTGATTTCGAGTCCCGGAGTGGAAAAATAAAAAGCTGTTTGATAACACTTTTGCCGCTTATGATTTAGTGTAATGTTACGGAGCTTTTAGAAGCAATGCGAGAATGTATGGGATTTGGTAGCACCATTTGTTTACTTTAAAAATGTGTTTGTGGGCAAAATGTTTGATGGCAAACCTGATACTCGTGTTCAGTGATCCAAAAACATATAGAAACCAAATTTCGAAACTACACCTAAACTTTCTTATTTTTTACCATTTGACTGGACTAAGAGCAGTAATGTAATTTGGAGGACAGGTATGAGCCAAATGTGTGAAACCTGTTTGAAAGTCATTTCAGTAAAATAAGTTGTCATACTCTTCCCTATTTGGCTATGACTGTTTCTCAGCATTTAGTGGCCACTAGAAAACTCATTTTGTTATTGTCAGCTAGAATTATGTTGATATGCTGTCATAAGAACAGCTGCTAGAGAGGCATTTGTTCTCATAAAACAGACTATCAAAACTTGCGTTTGATATAAAGGATCTAAAAATGACAATTATTTTTTGTTGAGAAAAAAATATTGTAAATGTGTACCTGTTTGATTTTGTCAAATACCATTTTTGCATGACAAACTGTGGTTATATGATTCAGCCCACACAATAACACTTCTCCCAATAACCTTTATGAACAGTTGCCATTGGACAGAATGTAGTTGCAAGAGAGTAAATATGCTTACTATTTATAATTGAAAATTACTTGGGAATCATCAGGAAAATAAAAAATAGATGTGTGTTCACACTGTTTGAAATTAAAGTTTTGCAAAGAAATTGTGAAAAGGTTTTGTAAATAGTGATTCTGACTGATTCTAAATGTGATTCTGACATAAACAAGCCTTGTGGATGTCAATTGTAGATATACAGTACTATATACTACTATATTCTGACTCTGATTCCAGGGCGAGCAATAATGATGCGTGGTAGCCCAAATGACCCTATGAGAGGAAACTTCACAAGGGGGAATCCACGAAACAGGAGGCCAAGAGGAAAACCAAAAGGAAATTTTAACCCTCCATATCAAATGAGGTTTTGAAATGTTTTTATAGATTTAGTGGAACATTCCTTTTGTATTCTTGTTGTTGCAAGGTCCTTGTGTGATTTGTGTATTGTTATATTTTGTGTTGACGGTAACAAGTGTTTGTTCTAAATGTATTTCGACAAATAAGATGAACCCCGAAAAGTGATTACATCCTTTATAGTGTGTTCATTTCCTCACATGGATGAAATTCACTAAAATAAAATCTGAGAAAAGTTTCATGTCGTTTGATGGACAGACTATCCTTCTCTTTCATCCTTTTAAGCGTTAGTGTATTTGATTTCAAGGTAAGTTATTAGGAGTTAACTGATGCATGTGGTCAAAGATACTTGGAGAGAAAGGGAGCATTTATTACGATTACTACTTTATTGGTGAAGTGCCAAGTCAAGTTGTATTGTTATTGAAAGGAATTCATAATACCCTTATGCCATGTGGTTGTTTACTACTCTGACATAATCAGTGAGGAGGATCAGCGTTTTGTTAATCCACCACTCTGCCTGACATCATCTGAATGAAGAGAAAAAAAGTTAAGATTAATAAGTTAGCTCTTAATTGTTCTTATAAGTACAATAGGAAATGTTATGTAATGCCGCGAAAAATCAATGTTGAGATTTTGACAGAAATACACAATTTGAGATACAAAAAGAAAAAAAAATTTGAAGCATGCCTATTGTTCTTTCCAACTATCTGTGTATGAACAGCTCTAACCACTGAACCATATGTTGAATTTTCCCCAAAATGAATAATCCTTGATCGATGTGAGAATCTCAAGGTCTTGCAATTTTGAAATGGGTCTAAAAATTTTTGGGGGTACTGTTATATGAAGTCTGTAAGACATCCAAAGCCATCTTCTTTAAGTGTTTTGGTTTAATAAAGGATATCTGTTAAGGTAAAACTTCACTTTTCATTACGAACTGGAATTTCAATCCTACACCTTTATTATTTAAGTTGATATTTCTATCTTAATACTATCTCCTCTCTCTCTCCTCTCTCTCCCCTCTCTCTCCCTCCCTCCCTCTCTCCCTCTTTTTTTTCTTCTCCATATAATTGTATGTCATAAAATATCAGACATTATAAGGTGCCTTTATTTTTAAGCATAAATTACTCAAACACTAGTTTTTTTCAAAAAATTGAACATGATCTTTTTGAAGAAATATATTCTACAACAGATTAGATAAAGAAAACGAGGTGGCATACCAAGTTGCCCAGTGTCTTTCATTCAGGTGCATCACATTTCAAATATCTGCTACCATGGGGTCTAGAGATCCATGGAATACTTTCTGAACGGAGAAGTAGCCTATTCAAATCATTTTACTGTTAATTTTAAAGTTAATGTATGTTAATGGAGGTGTAACCAGAGCCAATTTAAGACCTGCTGGGTCTGTAGCACTTTTATCATGTACTCTTTTATTATTTTTTCAAGACATGGTTAAGCGCATGGTGTCTAAAAGAACTGTAAACCAATTTCCGGTTATTTTTTTACATCTCTCTGTAGCTAAACATGGCTTTGTTAATTGATATCAAGACAATACACTAAAAAAACTACAACTAAAATAAAATAACATTTCCAGTTGCCGGATTCTAGGCCAAGTTCTGAGTCAATATTGGAACATTTGTACATTTTCTATTACACAAAAATGATTTTATAATCTTAAAAAAGCAATTCAGGTTTCAGTAGACGTTGAAGTCAAAAAGTGCGAGATTACAGTTTAAACTAAATATTTTTTACTTTCTCGTTTCGGAGAAGAGAATGTGCGAATTTTCGGCAGAAAAATTCTTATTACAGGGCCCTGGTAACGAAAAAGTGGATAAATCCAGTGGCTAAATTTAGGGGGGGGAGGGAATCCTCTTAACACTTGATGTAGCCGTAATCCGTTTTGTGGATCCTTGATACCGAAAAATCTAATGACGCCAAAAGGTCCATCCGTCTGAACAACGCTAGCGACTAATCCGTTCTGCCGATTTTCTCCAAAATTGATAATCCCAAATAATCTGGCTGATGTCGCAGTCTCTTGAATTTGAAACGGGTATTTTTATTTTGGAGGTTACTATACATAAAGCCCCCTGCGACATTTTCCAAATTATGAAAATAATGGTTCCATCGTTTTTTTATTGAATTTTGTTGTTGGATAGTGTGACAATAGTCACTGAGGCCATTGATGGCCTCTACTACGGCATGCTACTACTCGCACACCGGCAATATACACCTGGCCCCGCGTAAGTACAAACAGCGCGGGACAGAGTCCGCAGTGGCGCCCTCCACCCCATGCCACGGGAAACTAGCTGCGGAGCAATAAGATCTGCAACACCAGACGACAATCAGGAGACCCTGCCTAGATCTCAAATAGATTTATGTATTATCAAAAATATATGTATATAAATAATAGTCATAGAAGTCACTAAGCCAAACGGCAACTGAAATGTATATATTAGATTAAGAAATAAATATTTGTGTTAAAGATTGGTGCAGGTCTCATGTTCGTGTAAAAACTTATTTTCCGAAAATCTCAAATTCTTTTCGTCTTTCCACAACTAAATATTAAAAATAGATACTGTTTTCTTGAAGATAAATTTTTAAATAAAGTCGCATACAAATTTGCGTGAAAATAATGTCCAGAAAGTACGTGCTGTTCACGCACCACTAGTTCATTTTATTTATTGATACAAGCAAGTTTGAAAATAATATCTTTATTCAAAAGAACTCATTATTTGTAGTATTATTGGAAGATATACGAGATACAAACTAAATCAGGTGAAATTCTTCTGGATTATTCAAAATGTTTAACCTTAGAGTAATTACTATAGAATAATGGAAGTGGAATTTAAGTTCTGGTTACGATAGAGTCGAAAATTGCTTTGTGGTATGAAATCTACGTTATATTTTTTTAAAAATATTTTTATTTAATCATTAACATTTAAATAATAAATTCCATTTAAAAACTTAATTTTCGAGTGAACCATTTTCCCATACTACCATAAAATCATTGGAACACTACTCCCGGCGCCGCGTCTTGCACTGCCTTTGCTCGGTTTGGAGCAGGAGAACAGATTGTTGTGATGTTACAGAGTATTTAGTTGTCAAGCAGTGCTATAAACATTGATAGTGCAATAAAGGACTTTGCTCTGAAAACAGACAAATACAATTTTAGTTAGAGACAAGTTTTATTTTTAATTCTAACAAATATGTTATTTTTTAATAAAAATATAAAATTGTAAATGTATCGTTCTAGTACTAATTGGAAGTCGATTTGTGTTTTATATTCAATTCTCTAATAACTTAATCTTGTCGATCGTCAAGGTATGTAGGGGGTGGATTTTGATAACCTAGTACATCGCCAAAAATGATCATTCACTGCTCTTAATATGTCCTAAATGCAAAGAAAACCTATGTAAACCTCGGTTCTGATGAACAACTCAAGCTGTTAGATGTGTTCACTGATGTAATCGATGTTTCTTCCTTTTGTTCAAGAGAACGTAGCTTGCTACTTTTGGTTTTGCACTGTTCGTAACCCAGAAATCTCTACCTTTAGTTATCGCGAAATCGGACGAATGGTGCTAATTAGGTATCACAGGAACCTTAGGCCCGGCAAACATGTTCCTGTATACCGGTAAAGTTCACCTGTAGAGGTGAACCGAGGCGTGTGACAGCCGCTGCGGGCCAAACTACACACGCGTGGCCAGTGGCGTAAGTTCAACAGAGAAGGCCCTTGGACCAATGCAATACGGGGCCTCCTAATTAAAGACGTCATTAAATTAAATTCGTGATTGTAAACTGAATTTTAGGAGCGAAAACATCTATTGCAGAAAATAAATTATTTTTGTCATGTCATATATATTTCATTCACAATTTATCACTGTCAGTAGAAATACTATTTTTCAACCTCTTTGGTTTTTTGTATCCAATGGATGAAATTCATAAATTACTCAGATGCTCTTGTGCCTTTTTACTTCAGAACTATTTTATTGTTAAGTCACTTTTGGACATTACATTTGTTAGACTGCGAATTTTTATAACACGGAACGCAGCGGCTTCCTTTTAATTTAATATTCACTCTTTCTCGTTTATTTATTTTTTTTTTCTTTCCAGTATCCGTACGTATATATGGAGTAATATACATAATTTAGGGAGAGTAATGTAATGCTGGGGAAAATCGATTTCGAGATTTCAACGGAAATACACGTTTTGGGATTCCCTGATACCGAAAAAGTGTTGTTTATTTAGTTTGTTTCTCTCTTCAAACATACTCCTATCCGTCTGTCCGCATTGTCTGTAAACACTACTAGCACCTAAACCATGCATAGGATTTTTACCAAATTGAAGAAATCCGTGTTGATCTTGCTCTAATGGAAACTTTGTGATGGTACTGTACATGAAGCACTTCGGACGTTTTCAAAATTTGGCAACGACGTTCCACCCCCACCCCAGCTGTCAAGTAGGCAGAAATATTATTCGGACAATAATACATGCCGTTAGCAACTACTTTTTCTTCAAAAATTTAAAAGTACACTGCCTCGCTCGAATAGATTTTTGTCATGACTTTCCACGCTGCTGAAAAATAACGTACCTACTTTGAATTTATAAAATGTTGAAGAACACTGCCACACTACAATACGTTTTCCTTGCGTGTATGAAATGTAATGCTGAAAAAAAGTTGAAGGCCACAAATAATTTGTCAGTGGCGTTGCACTGAGCTGAAAATAATTCATCAATATTAATGGTGTGGATTTTTATCAATCCGTGGATTTTTAAGGGCGAGAAAATCCTTCGAAGGGGAAGTAAACCCGGCTGTCCCATGTTTGTAGATTTACTTACATGCAAAAGATCCTCAAGCCTAAATGACGCCTCTGAGCAAAATTCAAAACGCCTGTTTCGTCGCCCAAGAAGTACCTCGTGTCTCCGCTAGTTGGTGAAAGGAGCGTAGCGAAATTTGCGTGGTCAGACGGAAGAGCTGGCCTGATGGCTCGAGACTCGCCACGTAAAATAAGGCATTAATTCAATTCAACATAGCTTCACTATGTGCACGTTTTGTTGAACTCTCCTTTTGCTTGTAATGGTAAGAATATAAGTAAGGACGAATTGCTGTTTTGTTAGAAATGCAGAAAAATCATACTTGCAATTCGTGTACCGATGCAAATAAGTTTTCTATAACTCGGAAACAAAAATGACTATTTTTCAAATATTGCTAATCTTGCTATTTTTAAAATTTATTTTATTTATTTGTGCTAAACTTTTACTCATCCTTCAACTATTTATAGATAAAATGACGGGAAGGGGTTCTGGAACTCAAGAAAACGTGCGCAGATTATCTCCCCCCTACGTCACATAGAGTTTTTTGACGGAATAAATCTAAATATACAAATACATGTCATTGTATCTACAAATTACACATAACAATTTAGTTCTATAGTTGGACTCTATTAGCTCTAATGTTATTGCGGCAATGACATTTTTTAGTTAAGTTTGGTAGATTAAACAAATTCACATGTACAAACACAGCTAAAATGTTAATACAATGAAGATCAATAGAACCAATCAATGAAGAAAAATTGCAATAAATACACACAATCAATAGAATAAATCAAGGAAAATATATTGCAACAAAGCACATTTATGGATAAAGAAAGTTGCTTTTTATTTTTATAAAAAAAGAATGAAACACGGTTCATCCTTTGAATAAATTATTTACATTATTTTGGTTTGGAAGTTGAAACAAATACATATGTTATAATATAACTGAACAGGCGTATCATTGACCTTGGAATAACCCATAACGTGAAAAATATTCAGTAACCGCGGAGTTCTAAAACATGAAATAAATGGTTAAGAATAATGTGCAATTATAACAAAACATAAAATCCTAATTGAATTCATTGTTACCTACTTTGAATTCACAGTTTCGGAGCAT